CTTTGGAGATATTTTGTGGGTAGGTTATGCTGCCAGGCAAATATATATAAAAGACAAAAAAATACCACCTTAAGAGGCAAGGTGGATAAAGATGTTATTATGCAACCAATAATCTCACACTAGAAATGTTTGTGAACACAGCACCATCACCAAAAAAATCCCCTTCAAAAAAAATGACAATGTTGTCCAACACTTCACACATAAAACCAACTGAGCAGCCTGCAAAGTATTTCTCACATTCTCACTACAATAAGCTGATGGCCATGATTGGTAATTAGTAGAGAGTACTCTCTGTATACAGAACATATGATGAGGAACGTATCTGATATTACTTTCTCTTTGCATAAGGCGCTCTTATCACTGTATGATCAAAGCTGCAATGGAAAAGGACAGAGAGTGAAACAAACATTTCCGTAGCCAATGCTATTTCACTAGCAGATCATTCCGGTTTAGCGATCTCACTCCGTTCCTTTCCACATTAGTCAAGCAAGACTTCTCCAGCCGCCGCTGGGTCAGATAATACTTGAAACAGTGTAACATATCTGGGAAAGGTTTCACCACATAATGTCAGAGAGTCAGATAGACGGCAATACTACTCCATGAAGATTGTTCACTTTCTTCATCACACTAAACAATGCAATATAGGCAGTGAGTGTCTTTCTGTAATCTTCACCAACCCAAGCGCACCCACGAGACTCCAACAGGGACTCCTTTTAGCCGTCTATCATTGTGGTATAGCTCAGTGCTTTTCACTGGTCCTGTATGTTGCATTAAACAGCCATATCTTTTGCATTCGTATAATTCAGAATATACCGAATACCTTCTCAGTGGTGGCCCAAGTTCCTTTCCGAACTCTTACTACAGAGCCATCATTCCATGCTAGTATGTTTCTTAGCCGTAATATTCAGCATTTTGGGTATGGAGCGTGTGTAGTAGCAGTTGCTGGACTGATCCGAAGATCGCCCCGCCTTCAGAGGCAGGGCGGAACACGTAAACGTGATCTTTGGATCAGCCCGGCAACTGATACCCATACCCCATAGTGTGAGATTATTTATAATAAAGTAAGCCATGGGGCTTTATTAAAAATTGGTTAAATATTAACTTCTTTAACCACCTTGTCTCATAAGGTGGTATTTTGTTATCTAGTATGCTTTAACCGCTGTGCGTGCAACAACCGATTTTTAAAAAACAGGCAGCGATGTCTGTTTACATACAAGCAATCCGCTGGCTATAGAGCCGGCGGATCGCTTATATGGGGTGCTGATCGGAGTGCCCCCCCCCCCCCCCATGGTGGTTCTCTGACAGGGGATCAGAGGGAGATCGGACGATCTTCCTCCGGTCCCCTCTCTGTGTCAGAATGCAGAAGTGATGTATATTACATCACTTCCACATTCTTGTGTCGCTCTCCAGCTTCAGACGCTGAAGAGAAGCTGATGAAGCAGATCTCTGCCTCATCGGCTTTTTTGGGTGGTCCCTAGGTGACATTAGGGATCTTGGAGACTCCTGATGTCTCTCTAAAGAGGACCTGCCACATATCTGCTATCACAGACAAAAAAATGGCCTGGGCAGAAAGGGGGTGTAAACACCTGGTGAGCAAGTGGTTAAAGCTATTT